CTTTAAAAGTGATAATATATTGAAAGGCAGCAGGAACACCACTTAGAATATCTAATATCATTTGGTATAAAAAAAAATCAAAAATCTAAAGTATAGATTAATATATTTTGGCTTTTTGCTGCTGGGTTTTATTTGCTTTTAATCTTCTTCCTAATCTTTGGAAGTTTTTTATGAAATTTGCAATTTGTTGGCCCATGCAATTCCAAAAAGAGGTAGTCACAGCTACTTTTGTAAGTAACTACCACAATACATCTACTTAGATAAAAATGGTCAGCTTTATAGTATATTTTATTTAGAGTGTTTTGTAATATATGTAAAAGACTTCTTATGCTGACATATGGTGGCCAAAGGAGGTCCAGCATCACGTTATATGTAATGTTGTAGGTTGTGTGAGAAGGCCTAGATTGGGACTCCCCCCAGCTTTTTTTATAGTCATTCCACCATCACAAGTGCAGAGCAACAAAATTAACTCTCTGCATTTAACCCATCCCCGTGGGGAGCAGTGGGCTGCCATTGTGCGGTGCCCAGGGAGCAGGGTCTTTGCTCAGGCACCCAGAGTGCCAGTCTGTGGAAGTGGGACTTGAACTCAGAACTTCAGGATTCCAAGCGCATGCCCTAATCACTAGGCCACGCCTTTCAGTGGGGTCTCCCCTAAAATGGTTGAATATGTAAGGGCCTGATAGAAGGTGAGATCTTCCTCTGCAATTTGTGATTATACCAATGATTTATTAAACATAACTGAAATAAATTATTTTAATACTTAAACATATTTCCTCCTCTGTGTACACTATCTGAGAAACAATACCTTTGAATGGGGTAATAAAAGGGTTTTACAACAACAAGAGTTTGATGGGACATGTAGAGGACTTTAATGGTGTTTATGTGAGACATTTCAATGTTTTTGAGAGGGTTTGGTTGTCTTTATGCATATGAATAGTTGTGTTTCAGCAAGGGTTTATGTAGACATAAGAGAAATTGCACACTTTGTCCCACTGGGCCTCTTATATTTTGACTTTGGGGAGCTAAATAGAAACATGATTCTGTCCTTCAAAGGATTTCATACAATCGCAATATCTTTTGGTTATTCAATTAATTCCCAATATAATCACATTTGAGGCTATAAAGTATCAAAATATAGAAAAAAAAATATAGATATACAAACTTTTGTAAAGAACCATAAAACAACATAGAAGAGCTCTGATCATTTGCATAGCCACACAGATTTTTTCAGTGCCTTTAGAAGAACAAACTCTGCTCGCCTAAATCTTGGAATAGTTTTAGTTAAAGCCTTGCGTCTCCCTCCTCTAAAGCCAGAATTAACCAGGCTGACATGTCCTCTAGGGAAGGAATCTTCAGGCCAACCACACAAGGGCTGGTTTCATCATTAAAGACCACACTGTTAATGCCACAGGCACAGCCAAATCTTCTCTGGGCCCATTAGATTACAGAGGGACACTTCTCTGTCACATTAGACCATCCCTGGAGATGGCAGAAAACAAACCAACTCCTAACCCCTACTCACACACATCATAATTAACCCACAGGGGAGGAGGGATGGTGGCAGGAAAATGAAGCAGGGAGAGCCTAAAAGCAAGAGAGTATGGAGACAAATGAGAAAGAGAGTTACGAGGGCAACTGTTCTATGTTTCTAATTACTTAGAGGCTGAGCTGGAGTGAGGGATAATGCATACAAATACCAAAAGAACAAAAGTGACAAAAAACTAAATCTAGCATTGAGAACAGCCCTGCTTAATATTCCATTAACGTTTCAATTTGGGGAAGGAAAAATAGCAATAAAACTTAAATAAGAATGTGAACTTTCTGCATGTGAAGTCAGTTGGCTGATCTGATTGCTATTTCATAAAAATGTTTTTACTTTTAGGAAAGTAACCACCATTTTCAAGTTTGGGGAAAGAAATGCATCTTCATTCTAAAATGCTTCTCATCCCAATATCATGTCAGAATGACATTTCCATGCTGAAGTAGAAAAATCACCAACACTCCATATCAGCAATATTCAGTGTTTATTACATTTTTTATACAAATGTATATGCGAATATATCTATGTTAAAAAATCGAATGCAGAATTGAGTGGCTGAATGAATTATAAATTATTTTCACTGTAAACATTCAATCTCTTACTTTTTACTTAAATTATTCTGCCTGAAGTTAGAAATATGTCTATATATGACAGATTAAATGGGTTATCCATATTAGTCTTACTACGGTATTAGTCTGAGGTGATAATCTTCCGTCATACAGCACATATATGAAAGGATAAAGTCCTGTAAAAATTTCTTTTGCATTTTTACAGATGTATAAAATATGGTTTTAATAGCTGAAGCTGAGAGGGTTACGGTAAATTACAGGGCAGTAAAAATCCAACCATTAGTAGGATTTACACTTTTCACTCCTTTTTTTGGTTTAATATTCTTGTTTAACTTAAATGTTTTAGGTTGTTAAAACATATTCAGAAAAGTGACTGAACACAAAATAAGTTTAACGAAAACATAAATAGCCAAGCCAATCGGACACCTATGAGAAAACAAATCGCACTACTTGCTAAATGATAAGTTCTGTGTGATTGACAATATTTTGTTTGTGTTTTAGTTTCACTCTTTGTGTGTATATATATATATATATATATATATATATATATATATATATATATATATATATATATATATATATATATATATATATAAAAAGGCAGTTAAACAGCAAGAAGCAACCTAAAGTATCAATACTTAATGTCCTGATATATACACGGGTAGCCGTCTGACAAAAAAACCTTCAAAGAGGGCATCAGTTAGTTTTCCTGGAAGGTTACAAAAGAATCTAGATTAACATCTAAAACAAAAAGATTGTGGAAAAATGTGATCAGTGAGATAGAAGACAAAGGTCCATCTGGCATCTGCCAAAATTAAAACGTGATTTCACAATTTGCAAAGATAAAAAGAGGTGTGTTTCCCATCAATTCTGATGTAAAACTAACACAGTTTTAAGAAAAAAGATAAAGATCTATCTATTTAGCAATTTATTTTATATAAAATTTATTTATAAAGTCGGTTTCAGAGTTATATGTATTTTAACTTAACAATTATTTCATGGTTAATAGTGTTCTGGTTCATATGCTTCAATACTGTATGTCAAAGACAGATTTTCAACACAACGATTTGATGTGTGATCTTTCACAGTTCACGGACAAAGAAAAAGGCTTATCAATCACATATTTGATGGGTCTTTTTCAAACAAACTTGTGGCACAAGAGGATAAGCATGTGAATGTAGAGAATTTGATTATAGAAAAAACATATCTGAACAGGGGCAATAAAACAACCTGCATTACAGTGGTGGAAAGTAACAAAGTACATTTACTCAATTATTGTTTTTAAGTACATTTTTTGAGTATCTTTACTTTACTTAAGTAATTTTTGGGGGGCAGCACTTATAACTTTCAACCCCCTACATTTCAAAATCAAATATACTACTTTCTACTAGTGTTGCACCGATACCGATACCAGTATCGGACGGGGCCCCGATACTGCCCTAAAATGGTGGTGTCGGTATCGGCGAGTACCAACAAATAGGGCACCGATACCATTTTGAGAGCCATAAGTTTATTCAACTATTGTCACCCACTCCTGGTAGGCAATAAAAAGTTCTACTGGATTTGCTTTGTATTAGATTTTTTCCTGCTTCCCAAACGTAGGCAGCAGCTTGACAAAGCCATGATGGCAATTATTTTACATTATTATGGTATCGGTATCAGCTGATACTGCACAGCCAGGTATCGGGTATCAGTATCAGGGCCAAAAAATGGCATCGGCGCAACACTACTTTCTACTCCACTACATTTACAGGAAGCTGCTAGTAACTCGTTCCTTTTAAGCTCAGCTTAGCTTTGTAATGCATTGTTGCTCTTTTTCTTTTTCGAAATGCAGTTTCAACATGGAAAATTTAGGACTGAATTTGTATACCACAATTTTAAGGATTTAATGACATTCCACAAATGTGAGAAGCTCAGGGAAGATATTATTCATAGTTTATAAATGTTATCAAGGTATTAGTTGTTGCCATGAGGCATAGTTGTTCAGTAGGATGAGTTCTCAGTTTCTTTGTGATAATAGTTTCAACCTTAAACTTCTTTATCATAGAGAAAGTATGAAAATCAAGACACTCTTGTTTTCTTTTTGGTTTGTTTTTGAATAATAAATAACAATCATAAGAGCTGTCCTTATTTTTCTAGTGGCATTTTTATACTGGAATTCTTTACAGGTGGTGTAGAAGTTATAGCAGGTGGTTCTACGTATCAGAACATCAGGTGGCCTTTGAAAGTTATAAGGTTCTTTAAAATTACTCCAAATATTGTATGGAAATTTTGCTGACATCACAACATGCAATTAGTATTTTTGAATACTAAAGTACTTTTAAATACATGCACTTTTGAGTATTTTAAAAAGGGAGTAGGCCTACTTAAATACTTTAAGTTGAGTAGATGTTTGACTATTGAACTTTTACTTGTAGTTGAGTAAGACTTGACTATGAGTATTGGCTCCTTAAGTATGTTGAGTACTTGTACGCCAGTGCTGGATGAAAGAATGTGGATTTATCATGTTTTCTTTTTTTTTTTTTTTACGTCTTTCTGTTGTTTGTATGTTTCTATGGACAAAAACTGAAAATCAGACAATCTGCTTGTCAACTGTTGCAGAAAAAAAAAATCATACCAAAATATTTGACATGGTGTAGGGCAGGGGTGCTCAAGTCCAGTCCTCAAGAGCTACTATCCTGCAACTTTTTGATGCACCCCATTTTTAACACACCTGAATCAAATGAGTGGCTCATTACCATGCCTCTGCTGAGCTAAATGAGGGGATTGAGCCTTTTGATTCAGGTGTGATATAGAAGAGATGCATCTAAAAGTTACAGGATGGTAGCTCTTGAGGACTGGACTTGAGCACCCCTGGTGTAGGGTATAGTGTGCTCATTAGCAGTACTGACCATCATCAGGGTCTAGGATCTCAACTGTTGCAGAGACAGGAAACTCCATCACTCCCATCACTGGTTCTGACAGCAAAATCTGGAAGGTCTCCGCCTGCTCGTACTTCTCGTCTGTCAGGATCCGAACATGCCACGTCGCCCTTGTCTGTCCTGGGTTAAACTGCACTTGCCTTTGAGACCTTCCCTTGAAGTCCTCATTTCTTCTTGCACTACCATCCTGAGTACCAATGCCTGATGGAGACACAAAAGGAAAAAAAAAAGATTATTCGGAGAAATTACATGTCATAAATATGAGAAGTTAGAGAGAAGACAGAGACAATGGGAGACTGACACGCATAAAAAGAAAGAAATGAAAAAAAGATTAAAAATTCACACCCTTTAAGAAAGAGGTGAGGAAATTAGTGCTGTCTGTATTTTTTTAGCTGATTATTTACAGCTGAATGTGTGAAATAAGTTTGTGACTGAATTTTAAATAGAAGAACTGTTCTTCGTTGCAGAGTTTTTAGTTCCAATAGAATGGTTTGATGCACATGAACAGCTTTCTAATCTCTGTGTCACATCATTTTCACCTCAGATATTCCTTATTTAATTTAAATAAGCCTTTTCATGTAACCCTATTTCACTGTGATATATCTAACTTTCATGCTGCCTGATAAATCACACTCTAAGTGGGGAGCTAACAATCTGGTAACACAGGCTTTTCAGATTAAATTCAACAGAGAAAGCAGGTGGCATACCCTTATGAAGTAATGCATTATATCTGAAAATGAGCTGTTTATGTTTATTGTTTACATTTATAAAGTCTTAGGGGAGCAAACAGGACTGTATCCACACCAGGCAGATACTCGTGCCTGTCAGTCCTGGACGATAGGATTTGTTTTCTTTTTTCTGATGTTCTAATGCATGTGCAAACAACAGAACGTGCCAAACATATGCAGATGGGTCTGAATGCATATTGAACATGAGCACAATAAATTACTGTATGCAGAATATAAGCCGAAAATAAATGCTGCAACAGAACAAAACACAGTCACACTCATTTAAATCAAATCAGTTTAAGTGTCATTGCATTGTATACAAAAAAGGCATGTAACAGAATGAGATTCTATCTCCAGGATGTATAAGAGATAAGTAGAAAAAAATAGGTAAAGCTGATGAAAGGATAATAGTAAACACAAAACAGATACACGTAAAGTGCGGTTATGTATGTTGCCTCATCTGGACAGTAATTCAACACTAACAGCTTGAGGCATGAGGCAATTCTGGAGGTCCTTTTGATTTTGATTTGCTTAATGGCAGCAGTTTTAAAAGTTCCTGGAGAGGATTTAAAGAGTTTCTGCTCCTGCAGCTACTCTGAAAAAAAATCTGACAGATTACACGGACATTTGAACGTTTACATCCCATCCCCGTCCATTAATATCTTTAAAACTGATTGTTTTTCAAGTAGATAAATTGGCCATCCATCTGGCATGGTTGGCAACCAGGTGTAAAGTAATGTTATTCTGTCAGTGTTTACTGTTCTAGTTAGAGGATGTTTTTTTTGTGTGCTTCTGGCCAAAAAAGCTAAACATAGTTAAAAGATAACCTTTGTTAACCGAATATCAAGAGGACTAGAGTGAGCCAACACTCAGATAGTCTGTTAATGATAGTAGTAGAAGGATATCTGGCAATATAAAGTAGGAAAAAAATCCATTTGCTCCAAAAAATGTAGGTCAAAATGTTACACAAAGGACTACTGCATGATTAGATATAAAATTGAAAGGAGACCAGCATGTTCTTGGAGTCTCTGGCAGCATGTAGGTTGTTAAAATTTGACTTCTATATTCAACTTCATTACAATTTCTTACAGTACTAGTCAGAAATGTACACAAACTGATCATTAAGATGAATATCGTTGCTTTTGATGATTCATTTAACCTTTTTTTCAGTGTGCCTGAAATGACATCAAACAACAGAAAGAATTTCATGAATCTATTTCGAAATTCAAAATATATTTTCCATTTTCTCAGATTCAAACAGGATCAAAATTACTAACGCAGACTCAAACACTGGTGTACCCAATATTTGGAAGATTGTGCATCAACAAAATGCTGACAAACTAGGGTATAAGGGTCCCTGTAGCCATTATCATGGTGCTGTCATTGTTTTAAGCATATAATTAGCCATGCTCGTTACCAAAAACAGTGGGCTTGGATTCCTCATGTCAATAGAGCTTTCAATTATTGTCCTTATGTTTTCAATAGCAATCTGACCATAATAACATGCTCTAATTAAACAGCTTAACCCCATCACCTAACTTTAAGACTAATTAGGATTATTTTGACTAAACAAAATGAGCAAACATTTACTTTCCCAATCTATTCTAACAATAAAAAAAACACTGTATGAAACATGCCTTATTATAGAGGGAAGGCTGATCATAAAGTCTGCTTCACACTTGCTCAGCTCCCTGGAGGAAAGAGACACAGCTTGTGGGTCAAACTGAGAATCCCTCGGTGTAGGAGGACATATACCCTCCAAGGTTCTGATCTCATTGACTGATAGTCATAGACTTAAAGTCCTTGTGTTTGTGTCTAAACAAAGAAGTTTACAGTTACAAAAGGTCCTAAAAAATCTGAAAACTACTCGTGAAACTGCAGGTTTACCTCATTCTTTTATATGGAGACATTTAAATGTGTAACTCTTAATCTATGTAAGCTTAATCACTTCATAAAAAGAGAAATATATACACGATAAAGGTAATTTACATGTGGAGGTAAGCCAGAAAAAAGCAGTTTAGTGCCCACAGCTTCCCGTCTCTCTGTGGAATGCAATTATCTCTTCATCCAGCCCACCTGGCAATGAATACGAGGCTGGAATAAATCCTACAAGAGAGGATGCATATTAACCTGGCAAAAGTACACCTCTTTAAAGGTTGTTTTTTTTTAACTATGTATAAAAACAAAAAATACTGTTTGCTTGTGCATATAAAGTAGGATCAGGATATTAAATTAATTTTTTTTTGTTCCATTAAACAATAAATCAAGTACAATTCATACAAAACGAAGACAAAAATAATGAATGAAAATTCAAACCACAAAAACAACATGTTACAACTGAATATGTTTCATAAAGAAAGATACAATGATATAACAGATAAACATAAGAGGTTCTGAAAGGGATGCACTTTTAAAAGGCCACATTCTAGCTCACAAGGTCATCACGAGTATGTTTTTATTATAGCCCACAAGGATTACAATTACGTTTTATACGTGAACTACAGCCACATGCTGGACATATGACAATGTTTATGTTGATACATTATTTCTTTATCACATCAAATGTTTGTTATATTTGTTAATAGATTATATTACTGACATTAAATGAATAATTTGTAACATGGTATTGTATGCATTTATATGTATTTAGTATTTAGGGCAACATTTACTTATATTTACATCTGGAATCAGCATATTGCAATGCAATTAAATCATCACTTTTTTTTGCGTCTCCCAGCTTTGCGCATTTAAAGGGTAACATTTTCGCCTATCACTGTTGCCTTGTAGTAAGAGCTCCATAGTTTGAACCACGATGGCCCTTCTGCTTGGTGTTTGCATGTTCTCCCCCTGCATGCATGGGTTTTAAGCAGGTACTGCAGCTTTCTCCCACCTTCCAAAATCCTTTCTGTTGGGCTGTTTGGTGAAAACCTGTCCATCTGTCCATGATGTACCCCATGTTTCATTGGAGGTATGCACCAGCACCCTGTGACCTGGCTGCTTAAGGACACAGACTGAATTTTTGATAATGCATTTTAAACGGACATCATGGTGAAACCAAAGTCTTTTAAAGTAATCTAATATTATGACATGACCTTTTTTAAATAAAAAAAAAGCCACACCAAGGGTTCTACGGAAAAGATGGCATGAAAATGAACAATATGGAATGATCTACATTATGACCAGTTGTAATCAGTCATCCTTCTCCTGACAAAACAACCCTGACCAAGAAAGGACATTTTCTTAGTATTTGTCATTATAAGATCACCTACAGCTCCTTAGTGCTGGGAGTTGCAAGGTGCACTCCCTAAGAGCTGTTCCTTGAGCATGAGCTGTTCCTTGATGTGTAAATCACTTTAACTAGAACCATATGAAAGAGGCCACAACAAGCTGGGGAATTTTGTACCCAAGAAAGGATTTATATGATATACATTACATATATATATATAAAAAAGGATTTATATGATATACATTACATATATATATATATATATATATATATATA